ATTGAACCCGTGAACCTCTAAAACTAACCCAATCAGGTTAGGATCGAACCCATTAACCAACCCAACCGAGTTAAGATCCAACTCGTGAACCTCTAAAACTAACCCAATCAGGTTAGAATTGAACCCGTGAACCTCTAAAACTAACCCATTCGAGTTATAATAGAACCCGTTAACTAACGCAACCGGGATAGAATTGAACCCGTGAACCTACAGCGCTAACCCAATCAGATTAAAATCGAACCCGTTAACCTCTAAAACTAACCCATTCGGGTTAAAATCGAACCCGTAAACCTCTAAAACTAAGCCAATCGGGTTAAAATCGAACCCATTTACCATTCCAATCGGGTTAGAATTGAACCCGTAAACCTCTAGCGCTAACCCAACCGGAAATAACATGTTTTGTGGTTGGTTAGAGTCGAACCTGTGAACCTCTAGCATCAAGGACTCACACTACTCCTACTACAACACAACACCATACAAGAAAAAAACACCACAACCAGAAATGAAACGTTAAGTGAATAGTTAGGATTGAACCCACAACCTTAGGCTCATATACAAACAGTTAACTACAATACATTACAAAAGATCACGCCAACCGGATATGATACAAACTATGGTTGGTAAGGATCAAACCCGTGAACCTCTGAGATAAATGACTCACGCTACTCCCGTTACACTACAACAACATACTAAAAATAAAAATATCAACCTGACAAAAAGGGAAGCAGTTGGTGATTGGTAAGGATCAAACCCTTCAACCTCTGGGACCATAGGTTTATATACAAAAGGTTAACTATAATACATCACCATACCAACAAAAGAAAACACCCCAACCGGGAATGACACGATTGGTGATTGGTAAGGATCGGACTCATGAACCTCCAGGATCATAGGTCCACATTCTAAACAAGTTACTGTAACTACTCCTACTACGATACTAAAACTCAAAATATCACCCTAACCAGAAGGGAAGCAGTTGGTGGTTGGTAGGGATCGAACCCGCAAACCTCTGAGATCAAGGACTCATACTACTACTCATAGTAGTATATACTACTCCGTTTTATACTCCGTTTTTTATACTCAACGGTAAAGTTCCGCTTAAGCCCTCTTTCAGCTATTTTTAACATTGGATACATGAATTATCATTTGTTTCACATTTGTTATGGACTACTACATTTATTTAGATATGTATGAAATAAAATAAAAATATAATGTTTTTTTACACACCCTGTATATGTAAAGTAAGGTTGTCATTTACCACTATAAACACTGTATCTGTAACTGTGTTTAATAATTGAATAGAAATAACTACATTTACGTAAAGTGAGGTCATGGCGGGAAAGCAGATGGCACAAGAGTGAGGTTATGTGATTTGGAAATACAGTTGGGGAGAGGTTAATTGGCGAGATACGTATACAATACGTAGTGTGAGGTTATGGCAGGAAGGATTTCACCTTGAAATTATGTTTCACAGCTGCGTATGTGGTCACAATTAAGGTTGTTGAACAGTTGACGACTACAATATATGTTACAACTACTTCCATAGCTGGATGGCTTAGACATTATCCATCACCTAGGAGGTCCGAGGTCGATACCCGGTCACACTTTTTATCCTATAATTAATTTGGTTTGTTAAGTACCTATATAAACAAATAAGGTTACGTCAGCTGGCGGGAACGACTGGCGGGAAAGCATACATACAAATAAGGTTATGGTAGGATCAGCTGATCAGATGGTTTACCTGAGGGTGTCACGTGATTTCACCTCAAGTACTGCCACCCCTACTTGTGTATGAGGCTGTGTATGAGCCAGAGGTTCACGGGTTCGATCCTTACCAGTCACATTTACAGTATTTGCTGAGTTTTATTTACATATACCTATATACTACAGTCCATAACAATGACAAAGCAAATTATAATTCCCATATCCATTGTTTAACCGACTGGAAAAAGGCTTAAGCAGAACTTTATCATAGAGAACAAAAATGGCCTTTCTAAAGGCCACCAATTGTTGAACATATAATAAACATTTCATAGATATTATGTATTGTTGGAATGATGGTTAATCTGAATAATGTTTCTTCCTAGCAGTTGGTTGTGTATAAGACTGTGTATGAGCCAGATGTTCACAGGTTCGATTCTTACCAATTACCAAACGTTTCATTTCCAGTCGGGGTGATGTGTTGATTTTTAGTATGGTGTTGTATCATAGTAGGAGTAGCATTAGTCGTTGATCTAAGAGGTTCACTGGTTCAATCCTTACCAATCACATTTACAATATTTGCTGGGGGAAGTGAGGTTATGTTATTTGGCGGGAAAATAAAAAGTGAGGTTAGAACACATGTGAGGTTAGACCACGTGGAAATTCTAGGGCACGGCTTAAGGAAAATACTGCTCTCTGATTGGCCTAGAGGAAATGTTTCTCTCTGATTGGCCTAGAGGGAATGCTGCTCTCTGATTGGCTAGGGGGCGTGGCCTAGAGATAGGACTGCGCTCTGATTGGCTAGGGGGCGTGGCCTAGAGAAAGGGCTGCGCTCTGATTGGCTAGGGGGCGTGGCCTAGGGGGAATGCTACTCTCTGATTGGCTGATGGGCGTGGCCTAGGGGAGGGGTGGGGATGAAATGCTGCTCTCTGATTGGCGGGCCCAAGTACAGCGTACCCTACTGATATTATCTAGATAAAAGAACGAATTACCCGATACGAGGAGCGTGGACCGGACAATGGTACTTCCTAGGTGCAAGATAACCGCTATGACCACACGTAATAAACTGGTAATCTGTAACCTCATCCTGACAGCTCGGTGATTGCAGGTTAGAGTTACTGCTGTCAGGTGATGTGTAGTAACTAAGGCGTTTTTTGTATGTGGGTAAGATTTTATACACATCCAAGTGTTACAGTGCTTTGCCTTCAAATCTGGAAGTTGCTGCATTGATTATACCATAGAAAAAACAATTAAATACAGACTGTCAGACGTGGTGCGATTACCAAACGTTCTGGCACACAACGCTGGGAGCGCCATCTAGTTATGGCATACGCGCTACGTAGCTATAGGTCTCGCCACCCTAAGTTGAGGCAGCCCAGACGGACGGGCAGGGTCATTATCGGCCGGTCCCGCCCAACCCTTTATAATCCGATTAGTGACACTTCCGTGAACGCTCTAGTTCCATAATTGTCATTAACAAAGTTAAAAACCGATGTATAAATTTAGTCTTTTACATTAATAACGTCGATTTAACAAACATTTCCGTTTTTGTCCCATCAAAATCGGACAATTTTTACGGTTTTTGGATTTTGGGATCTACACTACTTTGTTTTTTGTTTATAGCTCACAAACCGTAAACATTGTCCGATTTTGATGGGACAAAAACGGAAATGTTTGTTAAATCGACGTTATTAATGTAAAAGACTAAATTTATACATCGGTTTTTAACTTTGTTAATGACAATTATGGAACTAGAGCGTTCACGGAAGTGTCACTAATCGGATTATAAAGGGTCGGGCGGGACCGGCCGATAATGACCCTGTCCGTCCGTCTGGGCTGCCTCAACTTAGGGTGGCGAGACCTATACATAGTGCTCCCAGCGGTGTGTGCCAGAACCTATGGTAACCATGATAATCGTACCACGGCTGACATATTTGATTTTTTTTGTAAGATTGATTTCAGTTCATGATGCCACTTTTTTGGGCTATCAATTAATTATGACATCTAACAAAAGTTCTATTTTGGATAGTAACAAAATCTGTATCTGGTCGGTTTTTACAAAAATATTTTTAAATTACCAATGTGGAAGATACATACAAACAACATTGAATTTTAATTGTTCAGCATAACTAACCACAACTTAATTAATTATTATTTATTATTCCAATGAGGTCTTACAGCTCAAAACTTGTCTGGTATGAAATTCTGAAAAACAAGTTTGAGATCTTCCTTTAGACAAAATATGTTTAATTATATTTTTCCAAAAACAATAAAACGAGTGTGTACATGTACCTTTAGAAAGATTCTTCACGTATTTTTTATTGAGTAACAATATAGATTATTAAATTTTACTTCTGTTCTGTATTTCAGTTTTAATTTTAAGTCTTTTATTTCCGATAGGCATATTAAACGTATGTATAATATTGTGTGATGTTAAAATACTCATAGGCATGTTTTTTGAAATTGTTTTCTATCTTTTAAGCCAATTATTCTGTTCTTTATAGTTATAAATATCAAACTGCGGCCATTTACATTGTTAGATTGCAACTAAATACTGATTTATAATCAAAGAGGTGGTAAAAATGTATTATGTGGAATCCCCCGAGATGAAATATTCATTTATTAATATGGGACCGAAGAACAATAATTTATTATGATATTTGAAATTTGTTTTGACAAAGGAAAAAAACTATAATATTCGTAGTAGAGATGTTGAAACACCCTGTACAATGAATAAGTTTTGAACCGACGAATGAGGGGCACTGTTTGATTCATTCTGTCTCATAACATTGTCAATTTTAACTACTATCATAGATTAAAGAGTAGACATGTATAGTGTCAAACGAGGTAACTCACATAGGGTTCCCCCACATAGAGGGTCCCTTTGAGATATAATTGATTGATGTAATTCCCTTTTCTTCATTATTCTATGGTACTATTAGAAACATAGAACTAGTGTAAAAGGTGTTCTGCTGTAATTTAACCGTCACAAAATTACTACCGGTCTCTTAAATATAATTTTCCAACATTCCGAGTTGATGAACAACTTGTCCGACTGTCTCGATTATTTCCTGTTTGCCGGAGAAAATAGAACGAGAAACAAGATCGGTTTGTTAAATAAGACATAGAGCAAGTAGAGTGGTTGTAATACATCAAACGCGGAGTTGAGGCGACTGTGATCAGATAATTGTTGTAATTACTGCTACATATGTCACGGGTTGTATAAGATCTTGTACGTGCTTCCATAGACTTAACACTCCAGGAGCGCGAATAACTCCGAAAGGCACTGTTACGAAAGGATGCTAGGGCGAGACGCTGCACAGATAGAATCTGTAAGGGCTGGCACTGCACCAAAAAAACATATGTATGGCCATGCACTATTCCGAAAGACACTGTTCCAAAAATGAGTTTCAGAACAGTGTCTAGATTTTAAAACGCACTTTGTAGATTTAAAATCTGTATGTATCTGCTGGAGACGACTTCAAGGTTTATAAACAGGACGTTATATTGTTTACTATTTTATTCTTGTTATTAAACCAATTTAAACACGGTTCAACTAAGTATAAAAATACTTATGCCAATCCTTTGGGGTTCCAACCAAAGGGGAAAGTACTCATTCTAAAATATACTCTTATAGAAGAGAGAGCCTTTTTAATATATCAGTCATATTATAGTCATATTATATTCATTATAGCCTATATTCATTAACCTACGTATTTTACTACGACTAATAACATAACTCATGATAACTCAATTATACTATATTACCATTAATATAAATTACCCAAAATTTCAATCTTTTATTTTAAACGATCTCAGCAATCCATATTTCATCATACCTTGAACAAACAAATATCCTCTGAATAGCCGAGTGGTAGTTGTGCACGTTATCATATCTAAAGGTCGCTGGTTCGATTCTAAATGGGGTCAATTGCGGACCCAGTTGCCATTGATTGGGATATCAGTCAATACGGCTACCTAACATTAGATAGAAAAAGACCATTGTTTAAGCTACACCCTTAAAATTGCAAATGAAAAGTGTAAATAAATGCTTGCATTTTCAAGTGCTCCTCTACAATTGCTAGACGAGATGACCAGACCCTGCTGTACCGGGATGACCAGCTGATGTTGCCTCATCGCGCCATTTCTTGCACCCGGTCAGTTTTTGCCACCAATGTAACGAGCTATATTTTACAGCTGTTGCAAGTATTCCCGCCTCCTGAGCTGCGTTTGGACATACAATGTCTGTAATTATCTCAAACGGTCGCGTCAAAAATACCCGGCGCGCAGCTTCCATGGGGAAATAAACCACTTTCAAATAGTAGTAGAAGTAGGTGATGGCTATTGGGGAATAATAGATTCCTGGATCTCTTCATTTGGTTACAATAAATACACTTTATTGTATCCCAGTATCCATGTATTCATGTACTATATTCTTTTTTAGCTGTATGCTTAGTTCTATAGTTAGTATTGTGATATTGGTATATTAAAGGTACATATTGTTCTATATTTTAATTATAGTCGGTCTTGGGGATAGCTTTTACTTGTAATTTCTGTAAAATGTTTATAGTAAGTGAAACAATTTATTTTTTAATAAAAATTACTTTTAAATAAAATTAATGTGATGCCCTGGAAGATGAAGTTTTTAAACTCACAAGAGAAAGTGATTTTTAGCTTAAATAATGAGATTTACCATGACTTAAAATAACCATTTCTATAAAACTCTTTTAGTGGTTAATAAATGATTGTTAATTGGTTGAACTGAAACAAATTATACAACCCAATGTATAGTTTTTAAAACCACCTCACAAAAATCCATTAAAGTTACCCAAAAAAACTCATCAACGTCATTTTTTCTATCAAAATGTGTAAGTTTTCTAATATTTTAGTTAGTTTATTATAGTTTTAAAACCTTCATTTTATAAATCCCTACTTCCACATAACATGATATACTGTTTTTCATTACCTATTTTAGTGGTAAATCGTCCCCTATTTGTACGTCTGGCGTAATACTATGCAATATTATACTCTCGATAATTTTAAAATTTTACATTTGGTTGGTGCATATGTAAAAATGTTAATGAATTATCGGTAATGGAAATAAGGCAAAGGTGGGGACTGTATTCACAAATAATGGGGTTGTACTTTTCAAACTGTTCATACTTAAAATGTAATTTGTAAAGTTAAAAAGTTAGCTTTTCTACAAGATCCATATTGACAACGCACGGCACGCTTGATGCATTTGCGCATGCGCGGTAAAGCAAGTTTGTATTTGCGTATGCGTGCAGCTGCAGACCGCCCTGCGCCGACTAGTTGCGCAATCGCTCATCTTACAACGAGTTGTTATGTGAGTAGTTGGTCGGTTTTTGTCGGCAAAGTCCGCGTAGTGTCGGGTGTCTCCGATAGAAGTCGGTCAACACTTATGTCATTGACCCGACAGTTAATGTAACAATAGGAAGAGTCATTATGTCAATACTTGTTTTAGGAGGGTAGGTTCAATCCTAATTTTTTAGGAAAACTTTTTGTTTGGGAACTCCTTCCTTTTAAACCCTTTGTGATTTCCCATCACAAAAATAAAACTAACATAAATACTAATAAATATCAAATTTTAATATTTTTGTAACAGCTTTGGAAGTTAAGTGTTTAAGGAGATTGCCTGGTAATCTGAAGACAGTCTGTTCAATCCTGATACAATACCGTATTTTTAATTGTTGAAAACTGGTCTCAGCTTGGCTAAAGAATCAGCTGATTTTATTCAGTAAAGATTGACAAATTAATACCTTCTTACTAAATTTTAACGCACCTAAAATTAAAATTCAGCTTGAGTATGAACCCAACTAAAATTAAAGTTGAGTGAGAATAAACATGATTAATCATTTAAAACTACGATACTCGGGTGAATGTCATTTATCATTGGACTCTTTGATAAATTTCTAATGGAACGGTTGAGCTATTCTTTAACCAAGCTACTACATTTAATTATTTTTCTCGCTCATTTCACTCAATTTAGGTTAAATACTTAATTAAGTATTCCTAATTGAATAGGTCTTTGCTTTTGGTGCAAGAGGGGTTTTATTCCTAGATGTCCCCGTGACTGGAGGTTAAAAGCTTTTACCCAAGCACCTGATAATTCTGTATACATCTTAATTTTAATCATTAACGTTTAGTTTCTTTGGTATGGTCATAAATATGCTAAAAAACTATTTCTAGTTATAGTTGAAATGCATTAACCAACGGGTAGAAATTTCCATATAACTTATAGCTTTCATTTAGTATTGGTGTCCATCATATCTGTATGTACGAGTATGTTACTTAATCGCGTAAAAACTACTGAATTTACTAAGCTTTAATTTTACAAAAATATAGCTACAGTACTATACAAGGATCAGTAGGACTATTCACGCTCCGGTATTGACCGAGGGATTTGCCCCTTTGGCTTTAAAGGTTCTGAAGTGAGGATTTTAAATGTATATGTTGATGTTCCCGATGGCTGCAATGAGAACACTACAATGTTTACATTTTACTGTGAGATTTCAATGCAAACAAGCAACTGTAAAATCCATTTAAATTACGATCCCACTCAGCTGATGTAAAAATTAAATAGATATCTAATATTTTGTAGAACCACGTTGCAGGTTTATTTATTCTTATACTTCGATAGTTCATTGATTATTGTTTTTAGGAGATGAATAATATTTTATAAACACATTTTTTTTAACAAAGAGATCATTGCATTTTTTGCCAATTCAAGAGAAACAATGTTCAGATTTACTTTTTCATAAATTTTGAAACCATAATTTTTTATTACAACCCCTAATTATGATGCTTTCTAATCTAGGGGTAGCTGTTACATATCTCTATCATTAACGTTGTTACTTGTAGATTTCATATTCTGGTAAAATAAGACCATTCACTCCCCAAGTTGTTGCAAATATATTAATGTTGTATTTGAATATGATGATGTGACATGATTTTTAAATAGTCTTAAAACACTCAGATTAAGAAAACAGTTGCTTTGTACGATTCAAGTTTAATTTCTAATATAATACAGTTTTTCAACTTAGCTCATGCATTAAATTTCCTTATTGAAAAAAAAAACGATTCTTTTGCCATTTTCTTCGATCTTCTTTTCTTGTAATTCCAATGCAATGTTCTTGTTAGGGTCCTCGAAAGACAAACAACTGTATATTCATTTTTTTCCGTTTTTTATATTTAGATCAAGTTTAAAGTAGGTAGTTTACATATACGTAAATTAGATCAATAGTTATGTTTGTAGGGGTGTTAGGGGATTTGGCAATCGGACATTGCACCCTACAAATTTTGTCCACAACTGTTAGTAAGATTAAAATATTTCTTGCATTTTATTTAATTTAAAAATATGAAAAAAATAATACTAAATCTAAAGATAATTATTCGCTCCTGTTAAAAAAAACAGTTAGTTGTCTCCCATTTCATCCTAAAAAAAAAATAAGTTAACTATTATTGATTGTTTAGACAAATACAGAGTGTTTATCGAAGTTAGTTAATGTAATATCGTTTTCATAGTATACTATCAACTATTTCCATTAAAAGTATTTTGTGTGTTATTTTTTTGCAAAATACCGAAGCACTTATTTTGTTCAGAAACGTTCCTTATTTCCCTAAAACTGCAAAACATATCTTAACCAGTCATAAAAAGACTAATCCCCTTATGACAGCCCAGATCAGGGGTTCCAAAGGTCAGGATGTTTTAGGGGGAGGGGAGGGGGCGTCCAGTGAAAGTAGCTTAGGTTCAACACTATATATTGTTGGGTGCTCAACCTAACTGACATACGGAATAATGCGTTCATATCAATACAGCTCCTTCAATACAACTATTCATATTGTTTTATAAACTGCATTCAAAATTGTTATTGACATAGATAGTGGCCATTTAAGAATTAAATAATTGATTAAATTGATTTTTGAAATGTAATAAGAGTTAGTTAAAAAACTTTCCAAGTTATGAACAAGTAATCTTTTATTAGGATGTTTGTAATACGTTAACTACTTTTTTACTTTAAAAGTGTAACAAATAGTTCTGTGTTTGATTTGTTGTAAAATGATAATCAACGTTACATAGTGATATGATTTCACATCTTACATTTGTTTTTGTTTTTTGTATATACCCTGAAAGAATAAAATTCATTTTATTTTTGGTTTGATATGGTGATCTATTCGCCTAGTCACATCAACCATCAGGCCCAATAAGCAATGATTATACTGTACTGTATATATATCATCGTTTTCTATTTACCATCTTGTAAAGGTTTTGAATATTACATTTTTAGAATAGGGAAAGAAGACTGTTTTACTTCATTTGCATAATGATCACAAGAAGCCTACCAAGACTTAATTTAGAATCGATATACACCAAACCACTTTATTATAAAATTAAAATTCGTAGCCCTATCAATTATTGCTTAGTCCTCAGGTGCTTAGTCCTACTTTTAATAAACAATTCGGTATATTTCTATTACTTCAATAATTTTTTGGGTAGATAATTGATACTCGCGTTTATTTCATTTATGAGTGTGAACAGATTTACCGGGAAACATTTAACTTTTAAACGAAGAATTTTACAAATTTAATTTTGTTTTCACTTCTTGATTACTACTAGGGTGAAATTGTAGATTTTGAAGTAAATCAGCAAAACACATGATTCATTAATTATTTTGTCCACAGAAATATTGAAAGTGGACAAAAGTTTAGGAAAATTGCTTTAATCTGTTTTAAGTTTATGTATTTTTAAGATGAGTTGTTCATTGCGTTTCAAGATTGATTTTAAAATAGGGCACAAACTTTATAACATGTATATTGTAGCAAAAAGATGCATTAATTAATAACGTCGTTTAGTATCTCATTAGTCTTTCTATCATAATCTTTTCAACAATTACTTTGCAATGAAATGTATTATCTTAATTACATATGCAATCAAATATCCTGAAATTGCTAAAAAAGGTTATAACAATGATTGATATAATTTAAAAGATTTATTATACTTATTTGAAACTGAAAACAATGCAACATAGATTAATATATTAATATATTAATAGAAAATAGGGTGCACAAAAGTACTTTGGCATATCCATTTAAAATTATCTTTCATAAAACAACAATGCAAACAACTTAGCAAAAATTTCCTTACGAAAATAGGATATAATTACAATTATTATATAACTAAATAACAACCCTTAAGAGTTATATTTTTTAGCATCATACATTCTATATACATTTTAATTTACTAAAACTACCTACACACTAATCAGATAACGTTACGTAGAAATAGATATCCAGTAAAAGAACTTTTGTTATAAAGCCTATCTTTCTGCAACATTAGGTGTATCTACAGCTCAACGGGGTCTAAACCGACAAGTCACATTGCCAATTTGTATTTTCCGTATTTAAAATTAAGTTTACAGAAAAGAAACCGAGAAACTAGTCGTGTCTCTGTAATAAATTACCACAAAACTAAATTTTAATATTAATTAAACGTGCTCAAATATATTTACAAATTTCATCTATGCCAGGTATACGTCGCTGTCCTGCTCCTGGCAGCTTCCATCAGGGGAGAAGATGCCAAGAAGTCAACCAAGAGAGGAGTGTTCGGCGAGGGACTGGTAGGAGGATACGGTCTTGGAAGTGGTGGATACTCTCTTGGAAGCGGCAGCCTAGGCGTTGGAGGAAGTAGCTATGGTCTCGGAGGAAGTTACGGAGGAAGTTATGGTCTTGGAGGAGGAAGTTACGGCCTTGGAGGAGGAAGTTATGGTCTTGGAGGAGGAAGCTATGGTCTTGGAGGAAGAAGCTACGGTCTTGGAGGAAGAGGTTATGGTTTGGGCTCCGGAAGTATTGGAGGTCTCTACAGCGGTCTTGGAGGCTACGGGGGAAGTTATGGTCTAGGAGGAAGTTCTCTTGGTCTCAACTACGGCTCCAGCCCCGTCGTCAACACCGTCTCTCACGCTGTTCCCGTTCCCGTTCCACACCCCGTACCTGTTCCTGTTACTCGTCACGTGCCTGTACCTGTTCCTCAAGCCGTCCCAGTTCCCGTCCCGAGACCTTACCCCGTCCCCGTCCCACAACCCTACCCAGTAACAGTTACGCGTCATGTTCCAGTCACAGTTACACGTCCAGTTCCCCACCCTGTTCCCCACCCGGTACCAGTCGCAGTTCCTAGACCGTACCCTGTTCCTGTTCCCCAACCGTACCCTGTAACTGTTACTAGGAACGTACCTGTTCCAGTGCCACATCCTGTAATAGTCCGTCAGCCTGTAGCTGTCCACTCTGGTATCTCTTCCTATGGTGGAAGTGTAGGATCTCTGGGATCTCTGGGATCATACGGTGGAATTGGATCATCCTACGGTGGATCCATTGGATCATACGGAAATGGTATTGGGTCATCCATTGGATCATACGGAAGCAGCATTGGATCATCCATTGGATCATACGGAAGCGGTATTGGATCATCTATTGGATCGTACGGTGGTTCTCTAGGGTCTTCCATCGGATCATCCTACGGACATGGAGGTTCCATTGGATCTTACGGAGGCTCTCTTGGTTCCTACGGAGGTTCTTCCTACGGTCACCACTAGACATAATATACGGTACGTAGCTTACTCATGACTCATGATTTCCTTAGCGTAGTTTATCATCTAATAACACAACCATATTTTATTTTAGATCAATTTAATATTCGAGTATCTAACTTCTAAACAAAGTGAGACTTGAAGTCTAAAGTTATAGTAAGTGTAATCACAATAAAATATTCTTCTTTGATGTTTATTCCCTAAAGCTATAGGATATCAATATGACAAATTATTTGCCCTAGTTACTAAAATAATTTATTTATTCCTTTGACTTTGATATGTGTTGTTTTACTTAGATAAGGTATTTTCTTTCAAAGACATCAGCCCAGAAGGGTAAAATTGCAAATCAGTTCAAGAAGCATTAAACATGTGAAAGAATGACAAAAGGTTTTCACAGAATATCTTAACAGTATTTCTTGCTTAATGTAACACCTTTTGGTTCAATCATGCTGTATTATGAGTGTTAGTGATTAGCGTAACGTTTAGAAAATCAGCAGCAAGTCCATCAACAAAACATTTTACTCATTCCAGGTTGCAAAAGTATTTCTATATGATTTCCATAACCATCAAAAATTGTTCGTTATAGTTGATGTAGAGTTGTTATTATAGAGCTATTTTGTTAGACTTCTCACAAAACTTATCTGTTTCAGGCCATATTGTCCGTGCCATCACCTCCTCTAGTATAGGCTCTCAAAGAAGTTAACCAGAGGACACCACCTGTGATTTTGTACTCAATTAGTGTTATTTTTATTTTAGTTACCATTGTGAAACCAAATGCTCAAAGTATTTATTAAAGGATTGTTTAAAATACATTGTTTACTTGATTCCAACCCTCCATGTTTTAGAGCTTTGTGATTGATTACCACTATGCAAGTTTCTGATAAAAGTGTTGAAATGTTTAAAAGACTAACCTCTGCAAACTAATAAAATGTGAATCATGATTAGGTTGTTCCATTTTTTTTAATGGCAGAGGTTTCACTAATTTTATTATATACTTACAGTTCATTTTGCCCTAAGACGTTTTTTTTTAAAATTTGGTGCTTAAAAGATTTAAGTTTGATTTGATTACCAAATAACACAGGTATATGGACGAACATTCTTTCTATACTTTTATGAATTTGATTAGTTTTTGATTTTGTTTTATGATTCGGTTAAGTCTTTTAAGATTCAAAATTTTGTACAGTACTTTTGAATTACATTTTAGGCTACGTATAATGCTGTGAAAGATGTTAACTGTAAATAAAATACTAATAATCAATGCATATAGAATGGTAATCAATTCTAATTTGTTAATTAAGTAAACTATAGCAAAAGTTAAAACATGCAAATAATGATAAATGTAATAGACACAAACGTAAACAGGTGGTACCGTTAATTAAACCAACAGAAAAGAGATAAAAAATCATGTCTTAGCTTTAAACCGTAAATTATAAACTGAAAATTCACTAATAGGTTACAGGAATTTCGTATTCAAATAAGCTCAAATCATAAAGTTTTAAATGCATACTTCCTCAAATCATAGTTTTATGGAATCCTTTTGTAAAATCAAATTTTTCTCCTCAGCCATTCGTCCATATCTTCTTCTAATATATAAAATTCTCGTGTCACAGTGTTTGTCTGCAAACTCCTCCGGAACGACTTCACCGATCGTTATGAAATTTGGTGTGTAAATTCTGTAGGTATGCGAATCGGACGTAAACTATTTCCCGTTTCGAAATTTTTAAAAGGGCTCCGCCCCAGTGGCTCTGGAGTTTCCCATGTTAACCTTATGAGAAATGGAATTAATGCATCTTAACAGCTGTTTCAATTAAACAAGTTGGTTCTGTTCTATGATGTTCAATAGCATTAAAGTTACAAGGATTACCAACAGGGTGCAGCACTTTTTTTTCTTTTACATTTATGACAACAGCTAATTTGCAACCAAAAGGTGAGTGAGCGTAGCGAACGAACTTCAACCTGGAGGCGAGTTAGCGTAGCGAACGAGCTAACCTGAAGGCAAGTGAGCGCAGCGAACGAGCTCCAACCTAAAGGTGAGTGAGCGTAGCGAACGAGCTCCAACCCAAAGGTGAGTGAGCGTAGCGAACGAACTTCAACCTGGAGGCGAGTTAGCGTAGCGAACGAGCTAACCTGAAGGCAAGTGAGCGCAGCGAACGAGCTCCAACCCAAAGGTGAGTGAGCGTAGCGAACGAGCTCCAACCCAAAGGTGAGTGAGCGTAGCGAACGAACTTCAACCAGGACGTGATTTAGCGATGCGAACGAGATCATCTTGAAAATTAAACGTAACGGTACTTTCTTTCCATCGGTCTGTCTTAGGGGAAACCTATAACTTAGGCGATACGAAGTTCGCCGGGTCAGCTAGTTTTCTTATAACTTCTTTAGATGAATAAATGATAAAAATATTCAATAAATTAAACAATATCTTTCCAAACACAGTTTAGTTATGTTTTTATTGTATTTCCATTATCTTATTTTCAGGTACAATGCAATTGAAAATCTCGCGCAAGGCAATCTTAATATTTGAGACTTTTTAGATACCTATTTACATGACGTAAAACCGCTATATACTAAATTTGGTTATATAATTTTTTCAAGTACCTATTTAGCATTACAACTGTATCCCAAAATTTATAGTTATACATAATTAATTTTGAAGGGGTAATTTTGTGAACACAGCTCCTCTCAGAGTTGTTCACCAATGTTAACATGTTTTTGTTTCATTTTAATGAGCTCACTCTAAAGTTGTGCAACCCTTAAACTATACATGAACCTAAGTGTAAGGGGATTACCCCAGTGGCCCTTAAATTTACTCGAATAGTAACCCTATAAATTTAAAAATCTATGTATTAATAGTGACTCGATGTGTCATTTTTAACCAAGTCATTACATAGTCCTTAAATTTGACAAAGTCCCTTAATGTACCTCGATAGATACATTTTAAATACTTCCAAACAAATAATATTCCTTACTTTATCGTTTCCTCCTGCAGAATAAATTCTGCAATTACGAATGATAAAGTGTGTCAGCAATTTGATTCACATTTTCCCCCCACTAGCTTGTCAACAACCCTTATCATTGGCAAGCGTTGGTAGTAGCTATGGTATTTATAAGTAAAATTAAAAAAAAAATGCAATAACACTTATGAACTGTAATTTTTTACAGCGTTGGGGATTTTACTCTTTGTTATTGGTCGTAAAAGTTGTATAATGTGTTTTTTTTTTGTTTTTTTGTTTTTTTTTGGGGGGGGGGGGGTATTTCATTGTTATACATTGTGAATTTTGTGTTTCATAATTTGTTTTTTGATATTTGTGCTGTTTTCTCTTTATATGTTTCAGTAGATTATTTTCAGCCTTTTTTACATAAATAACGTGTTAAAAAATATTTTTCATCATATTGCAGTTTTTAATAAGTTACATGCGTTGCGTGTGTAATGCAGCTATTATTCTTCCTACGGAGTAAAAAGCGTTTCCAGTCCCTAGTGAGAAAAGTCAGCCGTTGTTAACTTAGTTGTAAATTTCCATTGTTGCCAATCACGGGTATCGAATGTTTTGATCGGCTACAGATTAATTTGCATTATTGTGAATATTTTGACAAACAGCAGTTTGTTTGCATTAGCAAAATCAAAAACAAATTGGAAATCGTTTGGAGAGGCTATCTTTAAAAAAAAATATTTTAGTGTTGTAACTTTGTTAGCTTAACTAGTTGTTCAATATGACGTAAATTATAGTTCTTCACAAGGGCAAAAAATTTCTTTTCTAACATCGCTCATTTTCTGACCTCGCCGCGATCATAAAACTTGAGCTCGTGTCGAAAAGAGTTACTTTACGCCGATGAAATATACTATTTAATAAGTAATTGTTCTTTATTTTCAAATACTGTATAGGCTGCATTGTTAATTTTCGTAGTAAGGTGTTGTCAATGTTACTGGATTGTTAATGTATTATAAATGCATGCAAAGTTCAAGATACGTAAAATTAGGTTAGTCACTTGTACATGAAAGCATCGTATGTATTGACAGTTTTGGTGTAAAAAAAATAATTTTAATTAAAAATTTTAAAACATTATGTGATTATAGAAGTGTTAGACACTGTGCACATATTACAATTTAGATTGTGTATGAATTTCAAGTCACAAATGTATTTCCTATATTCATTCAAAAATTGTACTATATTTTAAGTAATTTTGTTTTAAAAATTGATTAATATCGATTACTGTATTGAATATTAAGCTAGATTTCAATAAAATATTCGTAAATATTAGATGTATTTTTATTAGAACAAATATAAGAAAAGTCCAACAAATAATAATATAACATTTCAGAACCAGCGTCATAATGAATTTAAAAAACTCTGTTAGATCATAAATACAGCAATATATCGATACAGTAGTAAGAAATTGAATATTTGTAAATTTCCGAAATAAACTACATGTAAGCTCACTAATACATAAACTGAAATTGTGATAGAAATTCGACATATTTTTATTGTTCATTTTTATTTTCCATTACCAACTTGAACGCCTGCATTTCTTATTGCGACTGAGAATACAACAATGCTAGACATGGGAGCTTATCAACGTTGAAGGCGCATTTAAAAGCAACAAATCTTAAAGATTTTGTTGGTAGTGAATTTGTAAATTAATGTTGGAAATAAATTAGATTACACTTGCTCTAAGAGACATTGATACAGTATTTAAGTCCGAAACATAAGAATTAATTTCCATAATAAAAAAAAAAAAAACTGTGAGTTGATATCAATTTGCTTACACCATTATCCTAAGCAAATCTATAAAAATCTTCAATAATATTAAAATAGTTATCCTCCGCAATTGTGCATTTTTTTTATATCTGCGTAATTTTACAGGTAAATTTGACAAGTTTATGATCTACCTTTGTGTTAAATTTCAACCCAGAGAATTCAGTATTTTTGCATTTGGAAACAAACATGGACACCACCTCTTGTTTATAACAAAATAAATTATAATATATGATGAAAAGTGGATTAAAATATTATTTCCTAACCTATTCTCATAGTTTGGCGAATCATAAGATGAATAATTGTTTATTTGTTCATTCCTTCGTCATTCATTTACTGAGTCATTTTCTCCATTAGATGTACTAAATTATCTGTGAATGTCAATAGTGAATAGAACAATAACAATGTCGTTAGTAACTGAGTTTGAATGGTAGTCATCTGAATCCTTGCTAAAGTTTTGAATCTCTATTCATCTAGTGCTCGAAACATTTTTGTGTAAGAAATCTAAATCGACAAAATATGGTAAGTATTCGAAGCACCAGTAATACAGTACTGTACTAGTTTTAATCTATATTCTTTTTCGTATTATTTAATTTACTTTCTACAATATTATTCTGCCAGTCTATGTTTTTATCTCTTATTTTTTTGTGTTTGACAATAATAGTGTAATACGGAAAGAATAAAAACTAGTTCTTATGGTTTTCTGGTATTTTCTGTTTGTGTTTCTTACTGAAAACCCCCATTTTGTTGATGAAAAATAATACATGGACCGGGCATGAACTATTTAAAAATCTAAATGTAAAAAAAATCTCGAAAATTGTTTGCTAAGACATCAATGCATTATAACATGAAGATAAATTAAAATTAATCAATTTAGTGTAATTTAGTTCATGTTTGCGAGCAAGTAGCATAAATAATAATTATGCAAATATGCATATTGTCCTTTGTCGACAACTTTGGGGGTAGTTAAAGGTAGTGTTTTGAAAATATACTACGCAAAATAAATATTCATACAATGCTAAAACATTCTTAGAAATTTAATATAATCACTTTTTTAACATTCTCGTATTCTTTCCTTTGTTGTATTTCCCAAAACAATGACAATGCATTTTGGAAATGATTTGAAACTGGAATGATTGAGTAACGTATGCAGGCTTTAATAATGCAATGATTAATTTATAAGTTTAAGGATACACAGCTCATTGTTTATATTAGGCTATTTTCGTTTCAAGTAGGAACAGCACAAAATACAAAATGCAATAAATATAAACAGTAACGTAAAATGTCGAACTGTGAAGTAACCGGAAAATGAGATATTTTATATACAAATTTTTACACTTGTAAAATAACATTGTTTTGTAAACTAATACAAGTACTGGTAGTATATACCATTTACTAGCTTCATACCTTTTCCCGCTTCCTTGCAAATGTAAATACATATAAACACGAGTTTTAGTATAACTTTATTCAAATATAGCCTAACCAGCCATAGCCTATAATATAGCCTAAGTTTCCATAAAATAAAATGGTGCAAGGAGAGGAAATTTTATACAATACAATATAATAATGAGCTGTATGTGTAAAATGAAATCAGTATCGTATATCAAAATAAATCTTTAAAAATTTGAATCAACTGTTCATAAAAATACAATTATATACACTACACTACAATGGAAAATAAGATTTTTAAAATGATTATACAATTAACTAGCTGATAATCTTCTATTCTTCCAATTCCTTGTACATGCATTAAAATCACCTTAACTCACTGCTAAACTTAATGTTTACCACAACAATGTATCAGCTGTTTCTTATCCAACATAAGTAAGTCATGCAACTCAAATGCATTTATTCAAAACTCCCCTCTCAAATATTTTTGCATACTACAAGTGTTTTTCTTTGTAATATCTTCCAACATTTTGGAAGGTAATCCATTCAAAAGAGATTATTTCAATTCACATGCTCTATAACTACCTGTGTACATTATCTATACATTTCTGATTTCTTTTCTGCATTATGTTACAGATGCGTCAACTGTATCCACTTTTCCTGTGTTTGGTCACATTAGATCTCGTGGTATCATTGGTAAGTTCAACAATCAGTTGAGAAATAAACCATGTGTTTTATCTCGAAACTCTTACCTGTGATTCGCAAAGATGTGGAGTCTAAAAAAAGAATAATTAGGTTCTTTAGATAGACTGTATAAAACAGTAGCCCAATCGTGATCATTATAGAAATTAAATTCTGTCTCCTTGTATGGTTTACAGTGTGGCAGATTAAACTAATGACTTTATCGAAATGAACAGAGAATTTTTTGAGTGAAATTCCTTTTGTAGAGATGGAAATCAATCAATTCTTACTCACTTAGGTACTTCCTTTCAAAAATTTACTCATATTTGAAGCCGTTAGATCCATGAGAATCTATCAACATACCGCACCAATAATATCAATTACTGAACATTATTGATAGCTACAAAAAGTAATAAGTTTACCTAAAAATTTATCAATATTAGTCGAGACTAAATTAAAACTTTGAGCTAAAGTCTAGAAAACCTTTTCATCTTTCTTTATAAACTAAACATAAATGAAGCACCATTAAAAAAAAAACAAATTGTGTCGACCAGCTGTTGTTCATTTTGTCAATTAAATAATGCAAACTATGGAAAGCATGTAAGGCGCAGCCCTTTGTAGATCTGCCTTTGGGGCAGAGCCCTCAAGAGATTTGTTCATACCAATAATTAATTATTAACTGTCGGCAAATCTGCTCTGAGCTTAATGTTTTGTGCCATGTATATTTACTTATTTCGATAATGACCTTAAACGACTACCACAAACTTGACTATACCACTTGTATATTCCAGATTAAAACCTTACCACCTGGTACTGTACCGTACAAAATATAATAAAAAAAGTTACGTGACTTTCAAGTAATCCATTTTTATCTGTTTCAGCCTCGTGAGGCACCTGAAATGTTCCTAAGAATATCACCTGTTCTGAAAGAATCAGAAGTCGGAGAAAAGACCCAACAGGCAAAAAGTAACATCAGGAGCCCTACAAAATCTTTTGCGAATTTTGAACAGGATGGATCTTCAGAAGAAGGAATAGAAATCCAAATCAGTGACAATTCAAGAGGAAACAAACTTCAAAATGACTTTTCCGGATATTCAATTGGCACAGAAAAGGGAATAGTTGAAAAAAATTTAAATCTTGATAGCGATTCAGAAGAAGGAATAGAAATCTTTAGCAGTGACAGTTCAAGTGATGACAAACTTCAAAAGGACTTTCCTGGAGATTCAATTAGCACAGAAGATGGAAAATTTGAAAACAATTTAAATGTTGAAAGCAATTCAGAAGAGGAAGTAACCAAGGAGAAGAAACAAGACGTTGAAGATTGTGATCATAAAGGACTTGAATTCTTAGAGGATTTTTTTAAACTGCCTCAACATTATTACAACTACTATACCGGGAAATGAAGGTAAAAGTATGGTTTGAAGGAAATAGAGTAGCGCATACATCTTGTGGACTTAAGCTACCGTAACATAAATCCAAATAATATTTTTAAGAATCCTCATCAACGTTATTTGCTAAATAATATAATATTTATATTTGCATAGCTTTATGGTGACAGAAATTGTAATCATGGTGTTCTACATATTTCAAAGTTATATAATGTGCTAAATATTGGTTGTTGTTGTTTAAAACATTTACCGCACGAGGATTTAACTTTTTATCACTTTTAGATCCTAATTAGAGAGTTTTTATTAATATTGAATAAATAGAGGATTTTACAAAAAATAATTATAAAATTCACTGAAAAACGAACTAATTAAAATCACTGTGTTACATTCAAAAGGTATAACTGGTATCTTTTACTCATTGTATAATTTCCATTAAATACACTATTGTTATTTAAGCTAAAACAAGACTATTCATGAATAAATTCTGTTTACAAATGATGATTTTTACTTGAACATTTGCTATGAACGAAAAAGGTCTTAGTTTTATGTAAAACTCAATAAAAATATTTATTCCACTTTGTGGCAATTTCCAAAGAAATGCACAGTACACCAAGCCAAAACTTTAACCTATAGAATATGAACACAGGACAATGATTACTATTGGAATAGTTTGAATGTTATAATATTACAATATTTTACAAAACAACTGTAGACACAATTATGTACAACTGATGATATAAATATTTAATGTGATGATGGTAACTATGGAATGCTGGTTTCATACAGTCCTGAAATCAAAAGAAAATAATAACTATAAAGTACAAAATATACAACAAATATTACGCATGAAACAATATGAGATATAACAGTATATCTACTCTTATATAGGAAATGTTTCTGAGGAGAACAAATTATCTTTGCTGAGTTGCATTTCTTCAATTATTTATTTTTATCTTACCAGTACTCCTATTTACTATGTCATTATGGCTGGTAGGTTGAAGTTTCCTTCCACCATGGGTTGAAGTAGTTATTTCACCACTCATCATATTCAGTATTCAAAATAAAACAACTTTTTCTTGTAGGAGTATATATTCCTAAATGTTTCATAGACGTAACATGTTGTAAATTAATTATTTTCATGACGTAAAATAACGAAGACAATTATCGAAACAACTGGATACGTTTTAAAAGACTCACCACCCAATTTAATCTTAAGCTAATTGAATACAGAGATTTTGATCCACCAATATAATTTTCAATATTAATTGTAATGGCGTGGTTTAGCTCAATAACCTAAACTTATACTTTCACTAAATTGTGCAAACTTAAAATATGATGCTCAAATTTTATTACTTATTGATCTTTGGTTTTACAACTAAATTGTTTGGATAATCCAACGAGCCACAAAATCAAAGTATGATTTAAATACTGACGATTTTTACTATGATTTATACGTGTTTGGATTAGATTAAATTTGTATTCTCTTTATTAGTATTCTATTCTGTCTCAATTTATTTGAAGTGCTATTATAAAATTATCAATAACTTCCGAAACTAACCTTTTTAATAGTGAGTATGATGATCTACAGAGCTCTGGTATCCTCCATGGGTGTGAATTCCAACATAGGATGTAGCCACCTTGCCGTAACCAGAGGTGTATGATGGACCGTAGGCGGGGGCGGAGACCTTAGGGTAGGAAACCTTTGGGTATGAGGGTACTTCAGAGTAAGAGGGCACCTTAGGGTATGAGGGTACTTCATGGTAAGAAGGTACCTTTGGGTATGAGGGCACCTTAGGGTATGAAGGGACAGGAGCGGAGTACCCGTAGTCATAGGACGGCTTAGAGTAAGCTACTGTGGGTTGATAAGCTGGTGCGGTTGGTGCATAAACTCCCTTACCATAGGAGGGGGAAGAAACAGAAAAGATGTCCTTAGCAACCAAGTGGTCGTAGGTGACGTCGTCACATTTTTTGGGAATAGAAACTACACGAGGAGCGTAGGAAGGAGAAACATAGGAAGGTGCGTAGGCTTTAGGAGCGTAAGAAGGAGAAACATAGGAAGGGGCGTAGGATTTGTAGGCTACAGGTGTGTACGCAGGAGCGTAAGACTTATAGATAGGAGCAGGTGCGTAGGTCTTCTTAGGCTCCTGGTAGAATACAGGTTTGTGAACTTCCACATGATGAGGGACTGGCACAGGCACTGGCTTATGAACCTCTACCTTGTAAGGGACTGGGACCTCGACGGGGTAAGGTTTGTCAACGCGCACCTCCACGGGATGTGGTACCGGGTGGGGGACTGGCTTAGGGACTTCCACAGGGTAAGGTTTGGGCACCTCGACGGGGTAAGGCTGGGGAACCTCCACCTTAACTGCTCTGGGAACATCGACGGGCACTGGATGGTGAATCGGCACGGGTATCTGGAATGATGCATTGTGTTATTGAACATTGTTTATGTCTTTCCTTTACATCCTAGGGCGCTTGGCTCTAGCACAGAACCGTTTTACAGTTAACTTTAGGCTAGACCTAGAGGGTCACTGAATAATCACTGAAATCAAATTTGTGATTGGTGGAATTTGAATCCGGGACGTTCAAGTCTTTTGACTTCACTACTTTTGGGATGTGAAGGATCTCCTCCCGTTTTCGAATAAACTAAATTTACATTTACCCATTTACCCAAACTAGATAGGGTAGTTAGGTAAAGGTAGATTTAGGTTTCTTGAAAACGTGAGTAATTCCTTTGCCTCCTTAAACGTAGAGTGTAGTGAGATAATTGCGTAAGAAAACACTATTTTACCTCAAACTAAAAGTGAATTTCTCTTCAGATGAACACTTTAAATACATCTGTGTAAAAAAATCAGAAACAAAAAAAAACTGAAATATGCTTTTGATATTTCATACTGGCTTTGCCATCCGACCCTACGAAACCTAGCATTTTTCTTTATCCCAGACGACCGGAATGATAATTTTATCACAGCTGTAGGCTATTACTCCACAATTCTCTTACCTTCTTGATGACTTCTACAGGCACGGGGTGAGGCACTGGGACAGGCACATGGGTAGTGATGGTCTTGACTCTGATGATTCCTTCCTCAATCTTTACTCCACCCAGGAGAGCTTCAAGACCCTTCAGACCTATAAATAGACGATTAGTCACCATTTATCAGCACAATGGTTCCCACGTTTTTGGTGTCTTAAATTGGAAAAATATAGAAAATTAGCCTTCATATTTTGACTTTAATTTAAAAATATTATCATCGCTTATTAAGCGTTGATTATGTATACTCAGGTATCATCAAAAGAGACTTGTTGAATCCTTCAGAGCTTTAAAAGTAACTGAGTACTTAAAAAAAAGTAAAAGGCCCTTAGTGACATATGTTTATCCTAAATTAAATGGATTAATATAATAAGTAACTTTCTTGTTGTGTTAAATGAAGAATTACAGAAAGACAAACGTGTATTTATCTTTATGATATGAATTATTTCCTTGCTGTATTAGGTTCTAATACAAAAAGATTATCAAGAAATTAGGGAAACCCCGTTGATTATCTTTGCTGATCAATCTTTTCACTTTTTTGAGAATCATTATGTATTCGCCACCTAAAGAATTCAGTAAATAAAATTTAGCCATACCTCCGGGGAATCCACCCAAGTATCCGTGGCCGTATGAAGTGTATTCTCCATGGTGATGTCCGCCAAAACCGTAAGCAGGAGCGTACGTGGCGACAACAGGGGCGTGAGGTTCCAGATGCTGAGCGTAGACACCACCATACAACCCCAGGTCATGGGCTACAGCCAAGTGCTCTCCCGGACTATACTGAGGTACGACCTCGGGTACCTCATAGGCCGAGCCTAGGTGTGGGTCTGGATACAGTCCTGTGAGAAAGTAGAGTTAGTGATGTAGTGAAGGTTTACACTCCACCGTACAACCCCAGGTCATGGGCTACAGCCAGGTGCTCTCCCGGACTGTACTGAGGCACGACCTCTGGTACCTCATAGGCTGAGCCTAGGTGTGGGTCTGGATACAGTCCTGTGAGAAAGTAGAGTTAGTGATGTAGTGAAGGTTTACACTCCACCGTACAACCCCAGGTCATGGGCTACAGATAGGTGCTCTCCCGGGCTATACTGCGTCACGACCTCGAGTACCTCACAGGCCAAGCCTAGGTCCTGTGAGATAGTTTAATAGAAACGAAACCATCCTGATTACAAGAAGGCGTACCTACCTCTCTTTTGAGTTTTGGAGCTATTTTCTTTGTCATTTTTCGTGGCTGGTTTCGGGGTTTTCACCGATGTCTTCTCTGATTTCTTGGTCGACTTCTTCGGGTCGGGATCTGCGTCCGCGGAGCACAGAGCTACGATGGCGAGAATAACTACTGCTACCTGTTGAGAGAATTTATTGTTAGTTCCTTATGGGTACGTTTGTAGGCAAACTAATATTTTAATTTCAAGGTAAATTGACACTGTGTTTTGGGAGGTAAGAAAAACTCCCAAAGTTAAACAGGCTAGGATATAGTCACTTGAAAACAGGATGAGTTTCCGTAATTCCCGAAACGCCACGTGGAAAATTAAAACAAACATCTTTCATGAACTTGGCAAAAAAAATATACAGAAATGTTTCCAAACAAGGTAGCGCGGAGGGAGCACGTTGAACAAAGCCAAAAATATTGCTGGTTGAAGATTGACCCTCTGTATCTTACCAATCGTTTGTTTATTTGACTTACCATAACTGTACTTTTTTACCTTTCAATCTGACAGACATCAAGTCTTTGGTAACGGGAAGTTGATATTTGAAAGAAAATTAAAATGAGTTTGTGAATAGGATGGAACAGGGTACAAAATGCAACAGTCATGTCAGTGATTTAAATCCTTGTTTCAGCAGTAAAACTATCAAAATCAAATGTAAAATGCCATCTCTCGTAGTTCCGGAGAGAACTCTGATTTTTAAGAAAACAAAATAAGAGCTAGCACTTTGGCTATTTGTTAAAAGGCATTATATTATCTTTCTGGATAATTGATAGCTTTATCCTAAATCCATATCAAAGAATCTTTATCCCCTTCAGTTTAAGCAATTCCCATTCGAAGAATCGTTATCTCAACTAAAAATATAGCTACCATACCAAGGACCTTTATAGGACTCACACTGTGATACCCTTTGGCTTTAAAAGTTCTGAGGTTAGGATTTTAAAAGTAAAATATTGATTGGTGTCCATGGCTGCCATGAGAATACATACAATGTTTGCAATTTGCTATGCCACCCAAATGTAAACAAGCTGAACTGTCAAACCACATTAATTCACAATTCCACAGCTGGTTTATAAATAGGCATAATCTCCAAAATCGTATGACATGTTTATGATGGTTCATTGATTTTTATTTTATCACGAACTAGCTGTACCCGCGGGCTTTGCCCCGTTTAACTTCTTAATTTTCAAGATGAGCTCGTTCGCATGGCTCAATCACGTCCTGGTTGAAGTGCGTTCGCTACGCTCACTCACCTTTAGGTTGGAGCTCGTTCGCTGCACTCACTTGCCTTCAGGTTAGCTCGTTCGCTACGCTAACTCGCCTCCAGGTTGAAGTTCGTTCGCTACGCTCACTCACCTTTTGGTTGCAAATTAGCTGTTGTTATAAATTTAAAAAAAATAATAATAGTTCTGCACCCTGTTGGCCATCCTTGTAACTTTAAAGCTATTGAACATCATAGAACAGAACCAACTTGTTTAATTGAAACAGCTAATAACATTCTTTAATTCCCTTTAAATATGAAAAATCATAAGGTTAACATGGGAAACTCCAGAGCCACTGGGGTGGAGCCCGAGAGTCCGATCAGAATAAAAACAACTTAGTTTTCCTATTTAATGCCTAAAGAATCGATGTACCAAATTTCAGCCTCCTAGGTAAATGGGAAGTGGGAGAATTAGTGATGAGTGAGTGAGTGAGTGAGTGAGTGTGTCAGTGAGGGCTTTGCCTTTTATATATTTAGATACTAGAAAAATGTACCGGTATGGATCGTATGGATCATAAACATAATTTATTTTCAGACCAAAAACGTCATTTGTTTATGTTTATGATCCATATACCGGGTCTTTTCTAGTATTCGTGGATTTTATGAAATAAGTGAGATTGTATATCTGTTGCTGTATCCAACCCTAATTAATTATTTAAAATTTCGCTAATGAATAATTGAATTGATTGATTTTGTGAAAGTTTACATTTATTTGAATCATTTTCGAACAATTAACATGTGTTTATAGTAGGGCACACACCTTAAATTTGAAAGTTTTTCTCCGGGAGATAATTACTCTCCAGCAAACCTAAGGACTTGTTAAACTAATTCTATTTAAATCGGGAATAAATGTTATATTTTTAAGTAGACATTTCAGTGTAAATCCAAACAATCAAATGGAAATTCGCTTAGTCTGCAGGTTTGCTGCGGCGGGGGTATTGTTATATTCTCCATAGTCAAATTAAAGCAGTGTTGTAAATATACATCTACTAAGAATATTTCTGTAAATTTAAAAAAAGCGAATGTGAAGTAGATGATAGAAGAAAATATAATTAGTAGCTATGCAGAACCTCTGGACAGAATAAAAGTAGGTATAGTTGAAATTTAGTTTGTAAATTGAATTAAAATACAAATAAAGTGTAAACATTGAGTCAGTTAAATTTTTAAAACTGCACCAGTACATATTTCTTAGTTTTTTTTAAATCTATTAAAATCCGATCCAAACATTTGTATATCAGTCCAAATTTGTAAACATAAAGCTACCATATCAAAATTATTCGAAAATATTATAAATTGTAATGATCCTTCTGTTTCCATGAAAATAAGTATATTTTCATAAATATATTAATCAAACTATTCTCATAATCAAAAAAACTTAAAAATCTTGAGAGCAGGAGCTGTACCTCTTAACCTCTGCTGTTTGAACTGTCAAATTATAGTATTTACAGCTGACTCCAATTAATACTTTTTAATACTTTTCACATTATTCCAAAATGTAAACATTGAAACTTTGGAAGCCCATGGGGCGTAGCCCAAGTGAAATATAATAACAGGAATATGTTAAACAGGTAGGTAAGCTACCTTTATTCAAATTTTTTTTCAATCGGTTCAGTGATTCTTGCGTTATTAGGTAACAGACACACACACACACACACACCCACACACACACACCCACACACACACACGCACACACACACCGACACACCCTCTCATTTTTATATATTAGTATCGATTTGTTTATAAGCCAATCATCGGTCTCAGGTAAGAAGAGACACGACTCTCGGCTTTTTAAATAATAAGTTATTTGTATTTTGTATTTTAAAGTTGTTGTTAATGATATCCGTGACGAAAAGAGGTGTAGTCATGTGGCTACCCAAAAATCACTGCGAGTATCAACGGATACAGACGACTCATAGTAAACAACCCGGGCTTTGAATCGCAAAACTTTCCATTAGTTTATCATTAATAATTGGTACATTAATTCAACTAAAGCTAAATTTGTTTTTTGTACCTTGATAACTTGAGATTATAGATTAATAAATACACCTCTCTAGATTTAGGCTCAGTGACACCTAGTGGTGACTAGACGAACTGATGCGCGCCTTAGTTAGGGTGAAACATGTTAGGAGCGCTAGCGTAGTCGTCGATCACAGTACGTTGTCGATGTTTACGCGAAACCGATCGTAGACTACTAAACTGACTTATTAATAAAATTACAGGAATTTTATACAGGTAAATGAATTTGACATTTGAATATTACTTGGTATAATTTCTCCATAACATAAAAATCCTCCAATTGAACAGTAAAGCTCTAAATATTTAGTAAGGAAATACAGGTACAGGTTTATAATGACTTATCTAATAATTTATTGTTTTCAATACGATTTGTTTCAACTAGCGACACCAATGCTATAGTTAATGATTATTATTGACATTCCTCTGTTGTAATAAATCAGTACTGTAATGTAGCCTTCTTTCACACCAGCGCGGTGCGGCACCGTCCCGCACCGTCGATGCGGGGCGACCCGCAAGGCCCTTTCACACTAGCTGCCCGGATCCGGGCGTTTCCAGGCTGAAACTTTGTGATTTTTGGATCCATTTCATTCAAATAAATAAAAGTAAGGTGGTTATGCTACTTGTTGTATCCGAAAATAAAATACAGTGCCCCCTTGCTAAATAACCTAAATTGGATTGATGCCGTGTGTGTAAAAATGTCAATTCCTTGTGTTTTTTTTTTTTTTTTTAAGTTATGGTGACAGCTGTGGGATGAATCTCAGACTTCAAACATGATCTCAAATTCTTTGTTTGAAGTTCATTGTTGGTGATGGTGAGTTAATGTTGTTCAAAGGTTTATTGCGGACATTTTCCATCACGAATGTAAAAAAACAATACACAACGTTTCGGGATCTGGAATCTGATCCCGTCTTCAGGTGAAAAAACTTAACTAACACATTACAACTAACAATACACAAACGCCCAACCTAAGTTGGAATACACTACCGAGGGTAGTAGTCAAAAAATATGCACTGTATAGCAGTCAAGTCATGATACAACATGCAATTAATAACAAATCACAAAACACTATAATCTATAAAAGGTTTACGTACAAAAAACTCACACAATGGAACACTAACAACACCGTACGCTATGACTCCACCAATGAGACTGAACCAACATGGCTGACCAATCGGAAACACGGAGACAACAAAAATGGCTTCCGGTCCCTGGAAAAGTAAAACCAACAAAATGGCGGAGCGATGTACGATGCCGCAAGATGGGTGTTAATTATGTTTATTCATATCACGAGTTTTACTACGAGTTAACATAACGTGCGAATTTTGAGGAGAACTCGTTATTTCCCTATTTATTGAACAATTAAGTTCCCTATCCTTTAGTTCCTTGTTCAAAATGGGTAGCCAAAGTGGCCTTATTTCAACCGATGACTGACTGATTGGTTGGTCTGCTAATTTAATGTATGAGGCTTCAATGAGTTTACGTTTGAAAAAATGAGGTTCCTTATGGACAATTTTTGCCTCTTCAAAATTCATACGATGATTTTCGGACCAGCAATGATGAGCGATCTTAGATTTTTCCACTAAACCTTTTTTGGTGTTTTCTCTGTGTTCTTTGATTCTAATGTTCAACGGTCTTTTTGTCTCGCCATAGTAAGGCCTGGAACAATCATTGCAATTTATTCTGTAAACACAGTTTTTAGTATCCTGAGTGTCATTTTTGGGTTTTGTTTTGACGAGACTCTGCCTAAGTGTGTTTTGTGTCCTAAATGCTGTTTGCACATTAAATTTCCTAGCAACCCTTCTGATTTTTTCCGACAGTCCTGACACATACGGGATTGACATGTGGACGAGTTTTTCC